CCCTGAGGCACAAAGAGTGATGACTACCAAATAATTCCTCGGGGTCTTTTCTTGGCCTATGATGTATGAAATGGAATTATGCTCTTCCTATGTATCCTTGTTTTTACAACTCCCATTTAGTTACTCTCAATGACCTTACGATTTTGTGCCTTCCTGGCTCCAAACCATCCTCAGTCAAAATTCCCCATCTTATTTCGATCTTGCTCTTAACCCCCAAAAGCAATTCCTCCTTTTCACAGTCCTCCATTCACCGGTCCCTCAAAATCCTCTAGGTGTTGCCGACATCCAAGGACGAGCCAACAGAGAATTAAAAAGCTGTTGTTTAAAAGGGATTTTTGTATGTTTATAGTTCTAACTTAGGCATCTGATTAGGAAGTTAAAAATTCGTTAGAGAGGGATTAATGATAGCATGTGCTGATGATAACAAGGAACTTTCTAATGGAAGGACTCAATAACCCTACCGATCATTAGTTGCTAACCTCCGCAGCAGCACCAAAAATTGAATATGAAACTGAAATGAAGCTACTTTTTACTGCTAAAGGTGATCCTTTCAAGTTAAGGTACTGTGTTTATGGGCTTTGGGGGCCGTTTTAGTTACACTCTCAAACAGTTTTTTAGAATGCTCCTCTTGAAGGAATTCTCACAAATTCATCCACGCCTACTGTTACATACACAGTCCAAATGACCACTGACAAAATTGACAGTATGGAATTCTTGTTAAAATCGTGGATTCTGGAGCCAGACTGCCCAGCTGCAATTCTGGCTCCACCACTTACACTTACTAAGTATGTCCTTGAGCAAGGTTCTTCCCTGCTATAAAATGAAAATCAAATAGATCTCCTCTCAGTATTGTGAGAATTAAGAGAGACCATGAATGTTAATCATTTACCCTTCTGCCTGGCACATATAAATGTTAACTGCCGTTATTAGCAACTAGCAATTAGGGAGTCTTTTTTTTTTTTTTTTTAGCTATGTCAGAAAGCCTGAAATATTCACATGGACCATGGTGGAATGAACAACATTCCATGTGTACTCCTTGAGCCAATATAATTAGTATTCCTCAAATAGTACTCTTTGGCTCTCTATTAAAGGAAACTTGAGATAGCCCTAATCCTATCTACCACTCAAAGCAAAATCCGAGTTTATCTTTGTTTATCATTATTGAGAAAGATATGACATCAGTAGTCAGACTATTAAAGAACAAGATGGGAGTTTGATTTATTCAAATAGATCTAAGATCCTTAACTGAACCAGTCTCTAATTTTTTTTCTCAAAAACATTTAATTGGAGTATTTCCTTCCCAGATCTTACAAATGCTAAGTAGCTTCTGCTAGTATGTGCCAGATTTTTCCTTACATTTGCATATAAACATTCTCATATTTCATTTTAATTAAAGCATTATTATTAATGATAATTTATGATCATTTACTAGATTTACAATGTGGCAGGCATTACTATGGCAGTCACATGAAACCTAATAATCCTCTCTGGTACATTATTGGAAGATTTTTATAATCAGATATACTCCAGTGAATGCCATTCCATCTTATGCAGTCTGGAACAATGTAAAAATCAGTTCATTCAATATTGCTAAACCAAGAGAGCTCTATTAATCAGCACTTCTCTGCTTCTCAGTATAATGATAAAGGGTATTCATTAATGTGTTAAAATATTATGTGCAGGATTGTTTCTGTGTTGTGTACCTTTTGTACTCTATCTTTGAATTTAATGGACTCAAGATATGTACGGCGATTTGCTATTAAGAGAATATTCTGTTAATCAAACATCTTATTATTTGACCATTCTAAGAAATCTTACCTAATATAACTAGCAGCTGTGGGGGTTTTTTTAATGTAATATAGTGTTTTCCCAATCATTCATTATCCTGTTTTTCAGATGGTTTGGATTTTTTTTTTTTTTAGTAGATTTTTGGAGTGTCCATGAACTGTCCATTACACTGGATTCATTTCTCTCTCTTTTTTTTGGACATTGCAGGTGAAAGTAGGGAAGAAAAGTTAGGAGATTCATTGCAAGATTTATACAGGGCATTGGAGCAAGCCAGTCTGTCACCGCTGGGAGAACACCGCATTTCAACCAAGATGGAATACAAGCTTTCATTTATAAAGAGATGTAATGACCCTGTGATGAATGACAAACTACACAGGCTGAGAATTCTCAAAAGCACTTTAAAGGTAAGATACAAAATGGAAGGAGAAATTCCTTTCAAGAGATTCATTCTTGAGCTCAGTGGATTACCAGATACTCTAAATGAAGAAATACAAAATGGGGAGGTGGAGGGGAGGGCAGGTAAACAGGAAGAGCCTGAAGCTGAGCTGTTCCTTTAGCATCTTGTAAGTGCATTGGTAAAGAGGAAATAACCCTAACTTTTCATTACCATCTCAAAGCATTGGCTAAATGTTATATGACCTGGTTCTAGGTGAAAACAGGATGTAATTGAAATTATTTTCAAAAACGTGGGGCTGGTGTTATTCCTCCGTCTTTCATTTTCCTAAGATAAATATGCCATGTAGTTATTAATATAGTTATTAAAAGAACACAGCATGCATGCAGAACGCAGTAGTGGGCCCTAAAAGGCTTTGAGATATTTCATGACTATCTCCTGCAGCACATTTGGGGTGAAGCCACAGTGATTCATGTTCCGTGTACAAATTTTATAATTGTTCTGTTTACACTATCCGTTCCCAACTCACATGTTACTTTCTTATTCTACGTTTCCATAAGTGCTTACATTACCTCCAGTCTCCTTATTATGCCACCCTTGGTTTGGGGAGGAGGTGGTGAAGAGAGGGGCGCAGAGAGGCAGAAAGTTGAAGAGGGAGGCAGACCACAGAACCCCCTCACTGTGTGTGTCTGAGGGGAGAGGGCCTGTTATACAAATTCTCCCTAAGCGGGCCTTCCACCCTTGAAAAATCAAAAACAGAAAAGACTTACCGTACAGAGTATGTGGTGCAGTAATTTCAGGAACCAGAAGGTCAAAGGGCTCCTTTGGGAAATATTTCAGATCCATAGTGTGCTGCTGAGGTTTGGTGATTTTGAAGCATTGATGAGTACCAAAGAGATAAACAAAACAGAAAATGCGTGATGTAAAAGAGTTTCCAGTAGCAAGCAGCCAAGTTTTCAGAGTCCATTAGCTTTCAGTTGGCATTCATGCAAGCACTATTCCAAATCCATGGGACGACTTAATGGTCTTTTGGTAACTAAGGCCAGAATCTTAAAAAGACCTCTAAAATTCATAAGAATAATTCTGCTAGGGGCACCTGGGTGGCTCAGTCTGTTAAGCATCCGACTCTTGATTTTGGCTCAGGGTATGATCACAGGGTCCTGAAATTGAGCCCCGTGTCAGGCTCTGCACTCAGCCCAGAGTCTGCTTGTCCCTCTCCCTCTGCTCTCACCCGCGTTCTCTCTCTCTCTCATAAGTAAATAAAATCTTAAAAAAAAAAGAATGTTTCTGCTGACCAGCCCTACTCCAAAGATGACCTCACCTCCCCACCTTACAGAGCACCCCACCCCATTCAGATCCAAACTGTCCGGTTGTGAAAACAGACAGGCATTTTGAAGCCGGTCAGGCTCACATGTATTTAAAGACCTGCTTCTGTCTTGTTCTCTCAGCCCCTCACACCTGTCTTTTATGCTCTAGATTCCCAAAAGCATTTACTTCCAGGAGCAAAGAATTTGAGCTCCTGCCAGTGTTCAGTTCACTGAGTATTGTGAGTCACCGGGGGTGTGAGGCTGCGCTCCACTCTCTGGGGCAAAGATGATGAAAAGTCACTGTAAAGAAATGCCCCTCGTTGATAAAACCGAACTACAGAGCCTTATACTTTTTAGTGTGAGAAATTGACAGAGGATAGGAATCTCGCATTAGGGAAGGATGACTGCCCAAGCAACCCTGGATGTGTGTAGTCCCTGGAATTGTAACAGGCTGCTCACCGAGCACAGGGTGACTCCCAACATCCTCGGCCCCAGCCCCGCTGTCCCCATCTGGCCCCAAGGACCAGAACAATTGCTTAGGCACCTTGCTGTCTTTCCCACCCAGCTCTCCCTTCCTACTTCCTGCAGAACATTCCCTAGACTTCCCTGCCCCTTCTGTGAGCCCATAAAAGACAGGCCTTAGCTTCTCAGACTGTCTTACCCCTCATCTTCCATCCCCCTCCTCCCACCTGGAAGACTCACGTCTCCCACAGGAGACAGCTGTGCTGTGTTGAGTTCTCCCATAATGAAGCTCATTCTTCAGCTGAGAGCCGGCCTCCAGCAGAGAAGGGAGAGCTCCTTTGCATTGCAGACCCCCAGTGCTGCAGGAAGGGAGCCGTGACATTCCTACAGCAAGAATTATATATTTGTGGTGACAGGAGGGCCATGCTCCCTCTCGTGCAAGTATGAGGAGCTAACCGTCTAGCAGGAAATATAGGACCGTGCAAAAGTAACTCAAGACAGAGTATGTAGTAAGTCCACTCAGTGGCAGGGATAAAGTGTTAGGATGACATAAATGAGGGAGAAAACATTTTTTTTTTCCGATTGTTGATGGAGAGCTTTAAGAAATGGTAGGCATTTGAACTGGATCTTAAAGAATGAGGAACGTTTCCATAGACAGAGTTGGGAAACAAGACTGGCCCAGAGAAATGAAGCACACGGAGTGGAGAATACAGGCGTACCCTTGGGTGTAGAAAAAAGTACACTAAGATTTGAATCTAAATAGCTGGGTTTGAGCATACCATACCAGAGCCGTTTGTTATGGGCTTCTTAAGATTTGCATGTTAACTTTTTATTTTAAACGTGAAAAAAGTCTATATCCAACTTAACTGTTGAATTCTTTTTGCTTTTCAGGCCAGAGAAGGGGAAGTAGCCATTATTGATAAAGTCCTAGACAATCCAGACTTGACATCTAAAGAATTCCAACAATGGAAGCAGATGTACCTGGATCTTTTCTTGGATATCTGTCAAAACACCACCTCAAATGACCCATTAAGTATTTCTTCTGAAGTAGATGCAATCACTTCCTCTCTCACACACACTCACTCGTACATTGAAACACATGTGTAAGTGTATTCTGCCCTCTGGCCATCTGGTACCTTCTGGCACTTTGAACAAGTGTATGACGTAGTTTTATATCGGTGTGGGGCACTTGACAAGCTAAACTTTAATGTTACCAAACCATATGAAACAAACCATATATGGTCATGATACCACTGTCTTTAATGAGCATTTGTATATTTTATATGCAGTTAGTGCTCAGCTTATGTTTACCATGTGCAAAATCAACTGTCTTCAATGACTTAAAATTAACTTTTACAAACAACTCTGAAGACAGGTGGTCTTCAAGTAGTAAAACCACAAAAAGGCAGTTTTCTATCTAAGGTCATTTTTCTCCCTCTAAGTTAATTTTATATAAACAAGACTTCAAAAGTAAATCACATTTTTTCAGGTGCAGACATCCTTGTGGGTGGGAAAGAATTTAAACCTTTTTTATATTTATTAAAATGTTCGAAGAATTTTCTTAAACATTGCACAAAGTTTAATGCTGTAGTTTTATTTTTGTGAAATGTAGATGTGCATACAAGAGTCAAGCAAAATAGAGGAGCATCAACATAAGAAAAGTTCAGGTATCTAATATTCGTCTTAAAAGTCTGTTAACTTGTGAAAGCTGGTTAATGGAAATACTATTCCAAATCTATGGGGACACTTAATGGTGTATCAGGGCAAAGCTTTGTAAGATGTTTTTGTAACTAAGACCAAAATTGAAGATAGAGCTGCTTTATTTTCTTGGTTTAAATCTTCCTTTATTTTTGTAGTGATGAAATACTGATTGTGTACAGAGGAATTTGAGAGTGGATTTTGTAAAACACAGCTAATTCGCCCAGAAAGGCAGCTAACAGATTATATATATATATATATATATATGTGTGTATGTATATATATATATATATATATATATATAATTTCAGCCCAAACTCATGTTTTTAAACTCCAGCTCCTAAAAAACAAGGGATAAACTGAAACGAATCACCTTTCCAGTTAGTTTCCAATTTTCTCCCTAGCCCATTAATTAAACTTACGTAATTATATTTCAGGCAGGGAAGTAAAATACGTTTAGTTACAGGACAATGTGTGTTCTAATGTAGACAACAATGTTGAAAAATAAAAAATGTGCCTCTCTCCCGAGAAGCAAGAGGATAATGGTCATTCAGAGATATATTACATTGAATTATATGAAAGAATTTATAGAGGTTTTTCCTAGCTTCATGAATTGTTTCTATAGAGTGGATGAAGTCTGTGAAAAAGTCCTCTTCATATGTTTTCCATTTATAAGTATCTCGTTTTTGAAAGTGACCACAGCATGATAATGACTGTGCTGCTTTTTAGTGTCGGGCTGCATAACGTACAAATCACAATTTGCTGTTTGTTTGGGGTTTTTTTAGGAGGAGGAAGGGACCCTCCTTTACTATTCTGTATCCTAAAATCTACTTCTAATCAGCTTTATACTGTTGCCTGTACAGCTCAGTGAATGTACTTTCATCTCTAAGAGTTCAGATATATGCCAGTGAATATTTTTGCTGTAGAGGAGAAAGTAAAAACTCCACAGCAGGGGTCTTTTTCGTTGCTTTTGAAACCAACATTGAATCACTATCGTTTTGCAGACTTTGCACACTGTACAGGAGAGTGGCCTTTCTACAGCACATTTTCAGTAATCCTATATTTAGTCAAACTGGATGAGAAATCATGTATTAATGTTTGTATGGAATTTTGGGTCTAGTGTAATATTTTTATCATTTAAAAAAACCTATTTGTAAAAACATTTATTTACTGCATGGATATTGACGTACATTAAATTGTGGAATTTTGTATATGTAAAAAAACAAAATGAAACAAACAAACAAAAAAAACCTCTTGTCCTAAAATGAAGTGTGCTTGTTACAGGTGTTTAGACTTGTTGATGTTTACTAGACCAAATGTGTACATTCACTTAAAAATATCTGTACCTGATGGATGTGTCATGAATACAGTGGCAAGGTTGTGCCCTGTATAGAATGAGCAGTTGACGGAAAGACTAGCTGTGTTGCTACTAAGCAGCTTTTACTTTTGTAAAGTCAGCTCTGTTGTTTTAAATGGTAAAAATTAAACTAATGAATTTTAAAAGACTCGTGACTAGCTTAGCATGAAAGAGACCTTTTAACACTATATTTATCTGTACATTTTATTGCATTAGTTTCAAATCTAGGAGAGAGGCAGCACTGTAAACTGAAGTGAAATAAATTTAGCTCTTAATGAATCCTTATAAGGCACCTACTTTATTCATACAGAGTCCTCACCACATTTCTTTGAGACCCAATCATAGAGCCGCCCTCCCCTGACCCCCTTCCCTAGTCACAAGTTGTAACTTTGCCACTCCATCCGTGGTCCAAGCCAGAAGCAGCAGCTGTTCCATGTGTGTGTGCAAGGATCTTTTCTGAGACCCTGCAAAATCAAACTCCTTTCCCATTTAGCTGACACAAACTTGAGAATTTCACCTACTCTTCCCTTTCTGTTGATTCTTGGGAAGTTGGGGAGGAGGGACCGCCAAAAATGTGTTGTGTGTGTGTGGTTTTTTTAAACAAATATAACCGACAGCATGTCTGCAGAGTGAACTTTTAAAGAAAATGAAAGAAAGAAGTTGGGGTCTTGCTTGATGTTCCACGTAACCAGAAGAACCTGATTATTATGGCTAAGGACTGCTGAAATAAAACTGAAAACCAATGAACTGCCTAAAGCCAGGGCAAAAGCAGGCTAGGGTTAAGAATGAGGAACAGAAAAACTTAACCTAGGATATTTTCTCAAAAAAAAAAAAAAAAGTGCTTTCTTAGAGATTTTTTCCCTCTCAGTTCTACATTCATATTAAACCATCAGAGCAGAACTGTAAACATGGTTCTGAATCATAAAATCATAGTTCTCCTTACAATGACTTCATGCTATTTAATGAAGGCACTTTCCCTTCACTATTTATTCAGATAATGCCATCTTTTTCCGACTATTTATTACAGCCTGTATAGCTAACAATTTCCTGGGTTTTATATATAACTTCTTGTGGTACATTTTTGGCCTTGCTTGTTTGGCACAAAAGTAATCACTGTTTAGCACCTAGGGCAACACTTTAACTATAAGAGGGAAAACAGGGCCGTATTTTCTTTTCAAAAGTCCATCTCTAGACCAGCATGAGTCTTCCTAGAAATCCCCAGCTCACCGAAGCCGATTCATATATCCTGTTTTGATCCCTCCTGTCTCCCATTCTCAGCTTAGGGGGCATTGTTCCTCTTCGACCAAGCCCTTGTTTGCATCCTTAAACTTCAGAAGCCGCTCCGCTCCCAGAGTCCCATTCTTAGGAAAAGCCCACCCACGCGTTACTCTGTAAGCCTGCTTAAGTGCGACTTTTTCTCCTCTGTCGTCCGGAGACTGCACTAACCCATTAAGCCCCGCACTAAATCTGGCGCCTCGCCGAGCCCTCCCTCCCTCTCCTCATCCCCATCCTCAGCCAGCTGCAGCACTGCGCACTGGAGGCCATTCCAGGCCCAGGGTAGCACGCAGCCAATGTCCTCCCAGCGGTCCAGGTCGAGGTCATAGCCCACCACGTTGCGGGTAGGCACCTGCCGCGAGTCCCGCCACTTGAGGCCACCGAGCAGCAGCGCCGTCTCCTCCACCACGGCCAGCCCATAGCAGAAGCGATCATAGGGTAGCGGTCGCAGTCGAGTCCACTGGTCCGTGCCGGGATCGTAGCGTTCGATCTCAGAGAAGGGCTCATAGCGCCCCAGAAAGGCGAACACCGCGCCGCGCAGCACAGCCATATGGTGCCCGAAGCGGGCCGTGCTCATGGGCGCCCTCTTTCTCCACGCTCGCTCCCCAGGGCCCAGGGCGTACACTTCCCGGAGGCTGCTCGCGCCGCCCTCGCCTCTTCCCGCCTTACCCCCAGAGATGTACACGACGCCACGGTCCCCGACGGCCCCCGCGTGGCCGTGCAGCGCCCGCGGCAGTGCCCCGGCCGCCGTCCAGCGGTCCCGGCGCAAGTCATACATCTCTACGGACGCCAGCGCCTGGCCGTCCGCGCCCACACCCCCGACAGCCAGGAGCCCCTCGCCCACGGCGCCGCACCAGAAATGGGCCCGCGCTTCCCGCAAAGCGGGCACTGCCGTCCAAGCATGGAAGCGCGGGTCGTAACGGTGCACTTGGGCCGTGACCGCCCGCACGCCGTCTGCCAGGGGTGAGGAGGCGCCATCAGAGGGACTCTCCCCGCCCAGGACGAACAGGAAATTGCCTGCGGTGCACACGCTGTGCCCCAGTAGCGGTGCAGGCAGCCGCGTGAGACTGCGCCAGCGGTGGTTGTACACGTCGAAGGCCACCACGTCCTGGGTGACCTCCCAATCCTCCTCCTGCTCTTCCAACTGCTCATCTTCCTCGTCCTCCTCCTCCTCCTCTGGCTCCGCCGCGGCGCCCCTGCCCCTGACTACCGCCCGGGGGACCACAACCTCCTCGGTCACCGCCTCCCGTGCCCTGCGCCCCCCTACCAACAAGATGCGGGTTTGGGGACTCCGGACGCTGGTCTGCTCGCCCTGCAAGAGCGGCTGGCGGGAGGGCGCCGTGTGGTAGTTGAGGGCCTGGATGATGAGGCCCTTGACCCGGGCGGGCAGGACAAGGCCAGAGCCCGAGTACACGCGCCGCAGCACGTCGGCGGGTACTAGGCCGAAGCGAACGCGCTCGAGCAGCGAGGCGCAGTGGGCCAGGCGTTCGGCCTCGGGCTCCTGCCTCAGCCAGGCCAGTGCCAGACCCAGCAGCCAGGCCTCAGGCACCCGCGCCACGTCGGGGGCACCCAACACAGCCTTGAGCGACGTGGGGTTCAGCTCCAGCAGTCCCATGGGGCCCGCGCCGCGCAGCAGCAGCTCCCGCAGGTGGCGCACGATGCAGCTCTCCGCGGCGCCCAACGTGTGCGCCAGGCCGAAGCGCGCCGCCACGTTGGCGGCGAAGCAGCAGTTCTCCGGGGCCAGCTGGCGCTCCAGGTAGCGGCCGCACAGCCCCAGTGCCTCGGTCACCTGCAGGTAGCTGGCGGCCTCCAGCGTGTCTTCCACCGTGTCCATGGAGAGCGGCAGCCAGGCGGTGTAAATGAAGTCCAGCAAGCGCTGCAGGCCGGCAGCGGAGGGCACGTGCAAGTGGATCACGCTGGCCCTGGATTCCCGGGTGTGGCTCTTGAACAGAGCCCTGAAGTAGTCGCTGGAACACGCGAGCAGCGACCTATGCGCCGGGAACTCGCTGCCCTCGGCCTCCAGCGTCACATCGCACAGGAAGCCCTCGGCGCGTAGGGCCTGATAGCCAGTGAGTAGGGCGCCGCCATGAGCTTTACAGTAAGATAGGAAGTAACTCATGATGTCCAGCGCGGGAAGCGGCCCGGCCGGGGCTGGAGCCCACCGGGCACGGCCAGAGGCATCTCGGGGCACAGCGCCCCAGGGCCCCCTACGTGAGCCCCAGAGCCCCTAGTAGGGGCGCATTTTTGCCTACTCAGCTTAAAGCCCAGGGCTCCTTCATCCAGGCCTGCAGATATCCCTGTACCCCTCTCAGAACAAACCGGGTGGGGTTTCCAGACGCTCCCAGTAGCGGAGATCACGGAGTTCGGAGTCTTCCGGAGGGAGCAGGGTTTGCTTTTGGCTGCTGCCGAGGCTGCCAGCGCGTTGCCCAAAGCCCCCTCCCCGTCCCAGTTTGGGGAGCCCACACCTGCGCGCCTGGGGCCGCAGTGGCCACGCACCATCACCTGGAAGGGCCGAGCTGTGGGTGGACTGATTCTGAGGGGTGCTGGATCTCCGACGGCGCTGATGCGCGGATGTGGCCCGGCTCGGGGCGTCCGGGGAGTGCGGGCCGAGGGCTCTGGCCTCCCGGGGTGGACGAGGAGGACGGACAGTGCAGGCACCCGCGAGGGCCGGGGACAACTGGGTATGGGGCGGAGAGGGGGGTGAGCTTGTTCCGCGCGGAGGATCAAATCAAAGCCTGGGGGATTAAGGAGAGGGGGGGCGCAGGTCAGCGCGGCGAGTCGGAGGCATGATTGGGCGCCGTACATAACATGCCGGTAGCTCACAGCGACAGGAATAGCGCGCGGCCGCGGCCTCCCCGGCGCGCCCCGCCCCGCGCCCCGGCTGCTGGCCGCGAACCCAGGGCCGGGGCGCTGGAAGGAGCGGCCCGGGCCTGGGACCTGACTCCGGTGACCCGACGAGCCGCCGGTCACCGGGGCGGGGGGGGGGGGAGGTTTCGAGAACTCGGCTAGGGCTGCGGGTGGCGCTCACTGGAGGGGCACGAGTCGCCGGGGACCCTGTACCTGGTGGTGTCTGGGGAGAGGCGGCCGGCTGGGCCGGAGGAGTGTCGACTCCCTGGTGCACTTGCGCCTGGGAAAGAAGCCCCTGGCACAAAACTTTCTGCTTTGAGAAGGCCCTAATTAATCTGGCGGGGGCGAGGATTAAGCGGCGACTTTGCGCGCTGACACCCAGGAGGCCGCTGCGCGCCGGGGAGCTACCGGCGGGAACCACGCCCGGGGGAATCTGGGGCTCCCCGCCAGCGGCGCTCGGTAACATGCCCCTCACCCGGACTCGCCCTTTCGAGATGCTGGGCCTACTCTGCGCCCTTCCTGAGGCAGCCCGCGTCTCCTGGGCTGGCTTGTCTCACGTTCTGCGCTGGGGAATTTGCTCCCACCCCCGCTCCCTGACCCCAGCCGAGGTCTCCCTTCCTGTTCTTGGATCCTGCCCAACCCATCCCTTAGCAAAGTGGACAAGGAGATTGGGTTTTCTGCCTTTGAATGACCACTTCCCTTTAAGAAAATAATTCGTTCCAGTTTCTCTCCCTGACTTTCCAGACTGTGATCTAATTAATGCCTGCTACATCTTCAATGCTGGGACAGGATAATGGGCAGTAAGGTCGCAAAGCTTGGTAGAGGCTAGAGGTTCCTAAGGTCCCTTTTCATGAAGTTATTTATAAGGTGTACCCAGCACAGAAATGATGACTAAAACCACCCAATCTTGAGACATTAGGAAAGCATTTCTCCATCTCCTCCATCCTGCTCTTAAATAACTAAATGATTAATATAACTGTTCTTTCTTGCCAATTTGGAGCTTCTGTGTTTTGCTTTCATCTAGAATTGATTTTTCTATTTTCTAATGCAACTCCTCTGGCAATCTGTTTTAAGTGAACCTTTTGAGGGCATCTGAAATAACTTGCATTTCTGACAGTTGGGCTGTGTTTCATTTAAAAAAAAGAAGAAGTCGTCCAAGGAAGTATAAAAATGTATCGCTTTCTGCCTCATATGCCATCCATACTTACAAGGTCTCCAATTAGAATTCTTAAAGTGCATAAAAATATTAGTAAAATGATCCTGCTTTCTTGTCAAAGATGGAATTGCTTTATGACTTAAATTAGCCAAATTATAAAATGCAGGCAGAGGCTCAAGTTAAGGGCTTGCTTAAACTCCAGAGGCTAAAAATACTCCAATTTGAATTCCTAATGTTAAAACTACAGATGGATTCAGGCGGGGTGCTGGTTGGTTTTTCTTTTTTAAGTACTAAAATTCTTAGTTCAAAAATAAAATACCAGTTTGGTTCAGTGTGCACAGATCCAAATGGTGAAATTAAACGGCCTTTACTTGACCTACTAGAAATTTGCTAGAAGGGATGCTATAGATCATTTAGCTAAACTCTCTCCTTTTCCTCGGCAATTTCTTGTTTCTCTTTTCAAACAAATGTGGCAAATGAGCCCCAGAGAGAATACAATTTGGGTGACTTGGATATTGAGTTACAGAGTCTGGACAGGAATCCAGGGCTCTCTCCCCACTATATTATGTGACCTCCTGTATGATAAAAATAAAATAGTACAACACACTATTAGATTACTTTAACCAAATTTCAGAGTGATAAAGTATAAATACAGTTTTTTAAACACGTTTTCAACCCCCAAAATCGATCCCATCTCGTCAGGTCTGTCCATCATCATGCATTCAGGTTGAATCCAAAATGTCACACTTACTTGAGAATGAAGATGCTGTGGAAGGGTTTACATCTTGACATCAAAAATCAATGTACACAACAAGCATGTGTTCGTTGCTGGCGCAACCTGCCACCTTTATGTATTTTGCTGTTGAGGATACAATGAACTGTGCTAACAGAAGAAATTTTCATATTGGATGTGTTTCCAAGGTTTTGTCTAGAAAATGTAATTATCAATCCGTCCAAGAATATTCTTGTCCTTTGAGTAACGTCTGTGGAAAGGATCAAGATTTTAATTTTTGTGCAATATTAAGTATGCTAAATAACATTTCAGTGTGTGCTTTTTTAGTTGTTGTGAGAGATGTGTGTCTTAAGTTGGATCCCCTAGAAGCAGTCTCTGCCACCCCACCTGAACATGCGGGGATGAGCTCATGTGGTGGGATATGATCGTCGTGTTGAAAATGATCTGCTCTGTGTGGCCTTCCCCCTTTAGACTGTAAGCTCCTCGAGGGCAAGGACTGTTTCTTGATTCTTTAACCTCTAGCCCCTATCACAGTCTTTGGCATAAGTAATGTTGAGTTGAACAGATCTAGGGAATGGTACCCAGCGGTGCCATCAGTGGGAGGAGTAAAGGATTATTAAGAGGAACTCGACGGGGACAATTAGTTCTTGCTCTCTGGTTCTCTTTCTGCCCTTCACCCAGCTGGGGTTGAAAACACATCCTGGTCAGGCTGTGAGCTCACAACCCTAGGAATCAAATGGGTAACTGTGAGTGGCGCCCCCCCCATCCGACTCTTCTAAGCCCAGACCACCTGGGCCAGCCCCCACTGCAAGCCAGTGCCGCCCTGCAGCCCGAGTCCTTCCCCCAGATTGGTGCCGCTTGGCTCTCAGCAGCTAGTCAGACGAGCTGCTGCTGTTCCTGTCTGGACCAGGGGCCCCACGTGCCCCAGCAGCTGCTCCATGCCCCAGTTTATATGACTGAGCTTCCACCGAAGGCCCAGCTACACCGTCCAGCATGCCTGGTGGGACCCCGAAATTTGCCCCAAACCCCTCCCCCCTTGTCAGGACTGTGACCTGCTCTCAACATTCCCTTCCATACATCTGCACCTCCTGTGAGAGAACCCGGAGCCAAAGTCCTCCAAGCTCCCGCCTGACCTCAGGGTGGCTCCGCTCGTCAGCCATGGCGCTCGCCTTTGCCTGAATCAGCCCTATCTAGCTCAACCTAAATTTCCTGGTTCTCCTGTCTAAAAGAATTGTACATGTTTAAAAAAATCAAAAACTGCAAATATCCATGTATAATAGACACAACATTTTTTTGCAGATGGAATGCGCTATCTTTGGTAGTGGCTTTATGGACATACGATGCACATACCATACAACTCACTAATTTAAAGTGTACAGTTCAGTGGTTCTTAGCATATTTACAGTTATGCAGCCAACAGTGGAGTCTAATTTGGGGACATTTTCATCCCCCCATACAGAAACCCTGTGCCCTCTAACTCTGGCTTCTCTATACCACCAGGCCCCCAACCTTAGGCAAGCACTAGTCTACTTTCTATCTCTGCAGTTTCTGGACATTTCATATAAACACACTCATACAATACCTGGTCTTTTGTGACTCATTTCTTTGACTTAGCATGTTTGCAAGCCTCATCCATTGGAATGCACTTTTGAGGAAGAAAACGGTTATGTATAGGAATAACACTGGGAACCTTATCTCAAAACTACAAAACCCTAAAATGTGCCTATTTGATATTTAAGATACAGTGTTTGGCAGGTTAACTCCTTATCATCTCTCATTACTGGCTCCTTTCAATCCCAGTATGCTTCCTTCCAATGCATGGCTTCTGGCAGCCTCCATAGAGAACCTGTAATTAGAAATGGACACATTTAAGTTAGCTAATTACGAAAACATGATTACAAACAATAACAGACACGCAGTAGAGAAAAACTTCTGTGTTATCTTCACCCTGTTCCAAGACCACTTTTTGTGTACATGAAAGGTATCTTATCTTTGTGATATGCAGTTCAAGCGAAAGAGTTTCAAGGGGCAGTGTGTGTGTGTGTGTGTGTGTGTGTGTGTGTGTGTTTTAATCACGTGTGATTTTAGTGTTCTGGCCCAGCTGACAGTTGAAGAAACAGCATGGCAGTGGGGAAGGACTCAACTTTGGGGTCAAACAGACCTGGGCTTCGTTTCCAGATCTGCCCCGTGTGACTTTAAGCAAGTGACTTGAATTCTATGAGTGTCGTTTTATTATTTTTAAAAGGAGGATAATGACTCTACACTCACAGCACTGTTCAAATTAGATTATATATATATATGACTACTCCTGGTATAAGTACGCACAACAGATATGAGTTTTTCCTTCTTTTCCCTCCCTTGACTAAAGCTTTCTGAAAACTCA